TTCTAAAGATAAACAAAATGGTCTTAAACATCCCTTTCTTTCTATTTGCATGGCTGGCTCAGCCCAATCCCTAACCTCCCACCCCTTCACCAAGTGCAGGACTGTCACAGTAGAATCCAGACAGACTTCCTTGGCTTCAGCCTCTCCTTCTCTAAAGTATCCAGTCTCAGGAATCTCAACATCCTGCGTCATCATCTTTGTACACGATTCAGAAACTGCCTGTCTCTTTCTGCCTTCCGCTCTTTGTGGGGTAATTCTGCCTGAAGTTTTCTTCTTAAGTAAGAGTGAACGATGAGCAGCCTATGCTTGAACATCTATGACTGCTATCTCAAACCCTCAAGTCTCCAGGGACCAGGGCCAGACCAACTTGGACAAGGTAACTATTTCTACAGAAAGCAATTATTCATTACCCACTGATTAAATCACTCTCCTCTATTACAGGAGCGTGTGTCACTCTTGGGACCTGCAGTTTCCTTTTACTCCTCCATCTAGGTGTTTCCCTCGGTCAATAGGGGAACTTGGGACATCAGAAATGGTTCAGAGACTATAATTCGAAAGCTCTCTGATAAGCTTACTTTAATTGCTCAGTAGTTATGCTAGAAGACAGACCGACTTACAGGGAACCATATAAAATGGGGAGGAGTGCAGGAACCAGACTCATTTTCTCTATGACATAAATCCCAATATATTTCCCTAAGGAAAGGTGAAGAAGCAATAAACTTTTTCTTCCCATCCCCACCTGGGGACATTTTTCTATTTATCTTTACATAGAGAGGGAGGGAGGGAGGGAGGGAGGGAGGGAGGGAGGGAGGGAGGGAGAGAAAGAGAAACATCGGCATGAAAGGGACATATCGACTGGTCACCTTCCGCATGACCCCGACCAGGGCCAGGAACAAACCACAACCGAGGTACATGCCCTTGACTGGAATCGAGCCCACAACTCATTGGTCTGCAGCCCAACAGTCTAACCACTGAGCCAAACTGGCCAGGATGTCTTTTTTGTTTTTTTTAAAGCAATGAACTTCTTAAAGTCTTACTGAGAAGGGAGGGTCAGTACCACAAGTTGAGATAGGTAGCTCTGCAGAACAGTTTAGTACTGCAAAAGGAGTTGGAAAACCGAGGGAAAGGCCCTGGCCAGGCAGCTCAGTTGGTCAGAGCATCGTCCCAATACACCAAGGTTGCAGGTTCGATCGCCAGTCAGGGCACATACAAGAATCAACCAATGAATACATGAATGGGTAGAACAACATATCGATGTTTTTCTCTCTTTCTCTCTCTCAAAAAAACAAACAAACAAACAAACAAAAAAACCTGAGGGAAAAATACAGCTTGCAGCAGCTAGAGCTGAGGGAGGTAAATCTACAAATTACTGAAAAGTGAAAAACAGTTGAGCGCTTAACATAATTAGGACACTGGGTATCCTGAAGCCTTGACCTTAATCAGCTTCAGAAAGGACCCCCTTTCCTCCTCCTGAGGTGAGCTCTAGAACAGTGGTCCTCAAAGTACGGTCCACAGAACCTGAGCGAACCCAAGACCCCCTCGAGGTCCTGCTAGGTGGAACTATATTGATAACAAAACTCAGATGCAGTTTGTCTTTTTTACGGTGCTGGTCTTTCCACTGATGGTACAAAAGCAATGGTGGGTCAAATTGCTGGTGCCTGAGCGGGAGTCTGGACAATGGTACCAAGTTAGGTCCTTTACCACCACATACTTCACACAGTAAAAGAGCAACTGCCAGCTTCACCTAAGAATGTCCTTGATGACACAGTAGAAATTAAGTCTTAATCCTCAAGTAAGTTTTTTTAATATTCTGTGTGACAGAATAAGAAGTATATATAAAATACTTAAGTGGCATTCAGAAGGTGATGGTTGACTCAGGAAAGCATCATGTGACTGCAAAAACTCCTGTGGAACACCATGTTTACTTGAAAGAATGAATAACACACAAGTGATGAGTTAGTCACTTTGGTATTTGGCAGACATTTCCTGGGGGGGGGGGGGGGGGATGACACAAAAAAAACAAAGCCTGTCACTTCAAGGAAAACAACTGACAGTATTTGTTGCCAATAACAAAATTTGAGCTTCCAAGAGAAAATTAGAATTTTGGCAAACTTGTATCTGCCACATGAGCATAACAGCTGCCCAACAGTTAACCATTTTTCTAATGAGTGTGGTGACAATATGAATGTGATTTTTTAATACTGTATAATTAAACGTGACAACATTTGAAAGATCTGCATAACTCAGTGAAACAGTATCTTCCAAATATCTATCAAACAATGTTACAGAATCCTGCATGGGTAAAGATCTAGTCAAAGTGAGAGAGAGACCAATGGATTTTACTGCAACTAAGTATGAAAAGTTCACTGATATCATTTCAGATTCCACATTGCAACTAACCTTCACAAAACCACCCTTTGTTCACTTTTGTGTAGTACCAAAAAATACCCACAATTATCTGAAAAAGCTATAAAAATACTCCTCCCTTTTACAACTAAATATCTGTTGTGAAGATGGATTTACTTCATAATTCAACCAAACAACATATTCCAATCAATGGAATGCAGAAACAGATACAAAAATCCAGCTGTCTTCTAAAGAGATATGCAAAAACAATGCTATGCTGCTCACTAATCTTTTGAAACAACAGCATTTTTCATTTTAAAAATGCTACTTATATTAACTTGTAATGGGTTTACTATTTCTAAATGAATTAATAAATATTTCTATTTCTAATATGGTAAATATGACGATAAATAGATAGATACATCCCACACTAAAAATATATGTATTTAAAACTTCAAAGAGCTTTTGAAGTGCAGAGTCCTGAGACCAAAAATCTGGGCACCTCTGGTCAAGAATACTACTGACTGTCCAGGATATCCATGAGGGCGCCTAAGGACAGGGTCCTTTGTATTTCAGGGCCTAAGAGAAATTAGTACTCTCGGTATTTGTTCCAAAATGTCAAGTCTGGCTTCCCAGTTCTGCCAGAAGAGAGGGTGAGAAGTTCAGGACATCAGAGAACATTTTTCTCTATATTTCACTGACAGATCAAAGCATCTGATCCCATGCTAAAATCCAGGGAGCCAATTCCAAGGTCATAAAGGAATCTAGTGGGGAAGCTAAACTCCACTCCAGATCATGAGTATCAGATCCTGAAGTTAAGGCTTTATCTAGATACAGTCTTCAGCAAGTGAATTCATTTACATACACATTTTTATATTTGGTTATAAATTCTCTGCTTCCTTCTTCCATCCCCTTTCCTCTGTCCATTCTTTCAATGTTGTTGTTTCTCTGAGCTCAGTCTTATCTCTTTGCTTAGCACATAGTAAGCACACTCAATAAATGGCAGCTGCAATTATTACCACAAACTTTCCCCCAGAAACCTGTTCTGTCCCATGATTTCAATCACCTCCTACATTCTTAACTTTCTATCATCACCCAAACCTCTGTCATGAGCTCCAAACCTACAGAATGACCTCCTGGGCCTTTCTACCCAGACATGCTGCAGGGAGCACAACTCAGCATGTCCAAAGTGTAACTCCTTTATCTTTTTCCTCAAAACTAAGTTAGTTAAATAAGATAGTAAAAACTTATTTTATCAAGTTAAGTCATGAAATGTTTATTTCAATTAGTTAATCCTTAACTTAATTATTTTTACAAAAAGTTTAGTATTTTCTACCTCCTAACAAAAGAAAAAAAAAAACTTGTTTAAACTTGTAATTAAACATTTTTTAATTCAACTTTAAGATGTGCAAGGAATAGTTTTTTAAATTCTTTTGGGGATACATGAATAAAACCACTTGAAGAGTATGTTGCAGGAAAACCACAGATAATTAGCAGGAAAATAGCATCAGATTTTGTGTTTGAGATTACCATAGTGTCAGTGTATGGGTTGAATATGAAGGATTTTAGCCTGAAGGCAAGGAGCCAGGGAGAAAACTGCAGACCAGGCAAAAGATGAGAGGGGATTTATGGTGGTTGCAATGGGAATAGAGAGGTTTTAGAAAGAAGTTAAAGATGGTAGAGTAATGAAACCTGATGGCAGAGTAAATATAGAGAGAATGAGACAAGAAGCATGATCCTAAGTTTCTGATTTTAGTGACCAGGTGGGTGTTGATGAAGAAGAAACTATTAGGAGAGGCAGCTTGCTGATTAGCTAAATCAGCAGGTGCTGAAGTTAAGGAAGTAGTCATCTGGAGTAACTGAGGGATGATTCCATAAAGGGAGGATTAAAATATTTCCCAGGTCCAGAATAGGATTGTGAAGGCCAAGGAACGGGGATAATGATATTCCAAATGAGTCTGGATTAAATCTTTCTAATGTTCTATCAGAGCACACACCACATAGCATGTTTAATTGATTAAAATCTCGCCTAGACTGCAAGCTCCGTGAACACATCTGCCTTGTTGACCACTGTATCCTCCCAGCCTTTCCGTGGTGCCCTGGCTCATGAAATATTTGTAGATTTTTATTTAAAATTGTTGAATGATTAGATGGATGGATGGATAAATGAAGATTTAATTTCCACAGGATCTCAGATGCTGTTTGAATCCCAACAGTTTAGAAAAGTATTTTTCTACAGATACTGAAGGTGGGGAAGAAAAAAAGTGGGTATCCGTGTTACATTCAGCCATGAAGCCTGAGAGGAGCTTGGGCTCACAGTCAAGGAAGAATTTAAATCGCAGAGCGGCGGGAAAGAGAAGGTAAAGAGGCCTAGTGTAAGGGTAAGCCGCAGGGTTCGGGTACTCAGAGGCGGGGCCGACTAAGCTCACGGGCGTGGCGAAAGGGGAGAAGAGTTGCGACGAGGCGCGAAGTTTTGGCCAGTGGAAGGCCGGGGCCCCCTGGCCTCCCAGGAGATGGAGAGGTGGCTGGCAGGAGCGGGACTGGAGCGGAAGCGGACGGAGGACTGGGGACCTGCGTGTAGGGACCCGGGCAGAGGAGGGGCGGGAGGGCTGGGCAGGCGGAGGGTCGTTCCCCCCATCCCCAGCCACACTCACCTAGCGGACCCAGCTTCGCCCCGGCTAGGCGCCGGCTCCGGCTGCGGGCGGCTTCCTCCCTTGGCCTGCTGGGCAAGCAGGAGGGCTCAGACGCCCCTAGCAACCACGCAACCGCCACGCGACGCGCGTTCTCAGCCGCCAGAGCCGCTATCGCCTGCGCGCGCCCCCAGTGGACAGACCGAGGGCCTGGAAGGGGCGATCGCGGCGGGACAGAGGCCAGCGCGCGAATCTCGTAGGTAGTGGGGCCCCGAAGGGCAGGCCTTCGCCGGCCTCGCGCACGCGCGCTCGCTTCAGGGCGGTGGGACCCGGAGAGCCGGATTCTGGGATGTGTAGTCCCGAGATTAAATCCCGGAAAGGCTCCCTCCAGGATTCTACCTACCCTGGTTCTACCTAACCCGTAGGGACTCTTTCTTTGGCCGTGCCTTAATTCGCTCTTCTAAAATAAAAGATTTTCTTAGTTCTTTCAAATAAAAGTCTTTGAGTTTTACTCCAGGAAAGGAGAGATGGCCAAATCCGCTATGTTTCCCTTCAACCAAACTTTCCTTAACCCCAACCCACCCAGCAGGTACAACTACAACCACCTACTTTATGGGCTTCAAGTGTGAAGTTTAGGAAACACTATCTTAATTCATTATCTCCTCAAGCAAGGCAGATCATGCCCCCTGTCTAAAATGTCCCTAGCTCGCCCAGCTGGTGTGGCTCAGTGGTTGAGCGTGGAGCCATGCACCAAGAGGTCGCCGGTTGATTCCCAGTCAGGGCACATGCCCAAGTTGTGGGCCTGATCCCCAGTGGGGGGCATGCAGGATGTGGCCAGTGGATGTTCTCTCTCATTGATGTTTCTATCTGTCTCTCCTCCTTTCCTCTCTCTCTAAAAATCAATGAAGAAAAAATATTATTTTAAATAAAAATAAAATAAATAAAAAATAAAAATAAACAAAATGTCCCTAGCTCTAATGGATATGGAGATCTAACCAGAGATGAAGGATTTAAAGATCTTTTCTTTTTCTTTCTTTTTTTTTTTTTTATCCTCACCCGAGGACATTGTTTGATATTTTGTTCAGAGAGAGTGGGAGGGAGTGGGAGGGAGAGAGAGAGAGAAACATTGATGTTAAAGGGACACATCGAGTGGTTGCCACCCACATGACCCAACTAGGGCCGGGGACAAACTGCAACTGAGGTACGTGCCCTTAGCGGGAACCGAACCCAGGTCTCTCCAGACCACAAGCCGACGCTCTAACCGCTGAGCCAAACTGGCCAGGGATAAAGATCTTTTCTAAACAGTATGCTACAGGGAAAAAAAAGGAGGGGGGGGGACAATAAAAGATTAAATTAACCTAATGAAAACAATCTGGACCAGAAGAGGGATGCTTAATAAATAATTGACTTAGGCAACAGTCATTGATGGATGCTAAAATCATTAGAGGATTGATGGAATTTTACACTAGAAGATTGTCTGCCACCACCTGTATACTTTAATCAGTCTTAAATCCTGAAAGATGGGACAGCTATAAATTATGTCGCCTGATGTGATGCAATTCACACTGTAATATTTAGGTAGTATATTCTTGTAAAAAAAAAAATTATAAGATGAATTTAATCTAATTGAGCTTTTGGTTATAGGAATTTTCAGGTTATAAGAAATAAAACAACCTGAGAGCCCTGGCCAGGTGGCTTAGTTGATTGAAGCGCTGTCCTGCACACCAAACGGTGTGGGTTTGATTTCCAGTCAAGGCACATACCTAGGTTGTGGGTTCAATCCTGGTTGGGGTGTACAGGAGGCAGTCAGTCGATGTTTCTCTCTCTCTCCCTCCCTCCCTCCCTTCCTCCTTCCCACTCTATCTGGAAATCAATGGGAAAATATCCTCAGGTGAGAATTAAAAAATAAAAAAAGTGATGTGTTCTAGATTATAGGAGAGTTAAGAGACATAATCAATTGCAATGGGTGGACCTTGTTTGGATCCAAACAAACCTACTGTAAAAAAGTATTTTTGAGAAAATGAAGAAATCTGAATATGGACTAGCCAATATTAAGAAACTATTATTAATTTGTTTTATTATTGTAGTTGACTGAATGGTGCCCCCCAACCCTGAAAATAATATATCCGCATCCTAATTCCAGGAACCTATAAATATTACCTTATAGTATGGTAAAAAAAAAAAATGTAAGTAAATATTTTTGAAAGGATTAAGGAATTTTCCTGGATTATTTCAGTGGGCCCTAAATCCAATAACAAATGCCCTTCATGAGGCAGAGGAAGATGTGACAGTCACAAAGAAGACACAGAAAAATGGAGGATGCAATGTAACCACAGAGACAGAGATTAGAGGGATGTGGCTATGAGCCAAGGAATGCCTGGAGCCTCCAGAAAGTGGAAGAGGCAAGGAAAGGATTCTCCCCTAGAACCCTCTGAGGAAACAGGGTCCTTAGGACAGCCTGATTTCAGACATCTGGCCTCCGGAACTATAAGAAAATAAATTTCTGTTGTTTTAAGCCACTAAGTTTATGGAAATTTGTTGTGGCAGCCACAGACTATTTTGACATTTTGGTTATTTTTTACAGAGACATACAGATATTTTTCAGGATTAAATGACATGCCAGAGATTTGCTTTTGCTTTAAAATACTATAATAAACATCCCATAGCAACGAGTACTCCTAGTACCCATGTCTTAGTTTCTAATATAGACCGGCCCCAATATACAATGGTTTGACTTGAAAATTTTTCAACTTTACATGGTATGAAAGTAATACTCATTCAGTAGAAATCATACTTCAAATTCTGAATTTAATCTTTTCCCAATTTAGTGATATGCAATATGATGCCCTCTCATGATGCAATAAATTTTAGTTCAATTCTTCAAACATTCTTTATACCCAAAGTGCATTCAGCTGTGTATGTTACTGAATAGTACCCACACAACCACTGTTTTTCACTTTCAGTACAGTATCCAACACTTTATTATAAAATAGGCTTTGTGTTAGATGATTTTGCCCAAATGTTGGCTAATGTAAAAGTTCTGAGCACATTTAAGGTAGACTAGGCTAAGCTATGATGTTCTGTAGGTTAGGTATATTAAATGCTTTTTTTTTTTAATCCTCACCGGAGGACATTTTTTTGCATTTATCTTCAGACAGAGCTGAAGGGAGAGAGGGAGGAAGAGAGAGAGAGGAACATCGATGTGACAGAAACACATCGACTGGTTGCCACCCACACAACCCCAACCAGGGCCGGGGACAAACTGCAACCAAGGTACATGCCCTTAGCGGAAACCGAACCCGGGACTCTCCAGTCTGTGGGCCAGTGCTCAAATGCATTTTTAAATTACAATATTTTCAATTTACTATGGGTTTATTGGGACATAACCCTATTATAAGTTGAGGAGCATCTGTACCATTCTCATTTAAAAGGAACCAGGGCTCGCCCTGGCCAGTTTGGCTCAGCAGTTGGAGTGTCGGCCTGTGGACCAGAGAGTCCTGGGTTCGGTTCCCACTAGGGACATGTACCAAAAAAAAAAAGGAACCAAGACTCCTTGGAAAATTGGTTGATTCTAGGACTAGGCAGGAAATATACAAGATGAGCCTGAGGTATCTTGTAGTACCAGAAAGAAGGCGTTCAAACACAAAACAAAACAAAACCACATTGTTGGGAGTATGTCAAAAGAGCTAACTCAAAGAACTTCCAATGACCAAAACTGAAACAATGTGAACAACAAAATTAAATAAAGTAGTAGTGGTTTATAATCCAAAGTATAGAACAAATATCTGTGAGCTCCTGGTATAAATACATGGTTGAGTATGTTCATGTGGTTAAAAAAAACAAATCTCCAGTACAGAACTCGAAATTATGTAGATATTCAGCCCTAAAGGAGGAAGAACATTACTCTCCACTCAAGTGTGGGCTGTGCAGAGTGACTGCTTTTCAAATAGCATAGTATAGAAAGGGGGGGGGGGGGGAAGGTAGGGCAAAGGAGTAACAGTAGAAAATTCTGACAAATACTACCACTTCAGCCTGGTGACCAAGGTCAACATCAACAGTCATAAGTCATACAGGTATTATGTAATGAAAATGGCACTTTACTTCAGTGATCTTCTCCCGCAAACTCATAACCCAAGTCTATTCATTAGAAACATCAGACAAATTCCAATAGGGACATCCTACAAAATACCTGACCAGTACTTCTCAAAATCATCACGGTCATCAAAAACAAGAAACTTCTGAGCATCTGATATAGCCAGAGGAACCCACGGAGACAACTAACTATAACTGGAACAGAAAAGGAACAATAGATAAAAAAGGAAATCTAAATACATATGTTTTTAGTTAATAATATATAGATATTGGTTCACTAGTTGTAGCAAGTATATCATAACAATGTAAGATGTTAATAATAGGGGAAACTGTGTGTAGGGTGGGTTTAATATGTGAATTCTATACTACTTGTTCAATTTTTTTTTCTTCTTTATTGATTTTAGAGAGAGAGGAAGGGAGGAGAGAAAGAAACATCGATGAGAGAGAACATCAATTGGCTGCTTCCCACATGCCCCCCACTGGGGATTTGGCCCATAACCTGGAGAGAATCAAACTGGTGACCTCTTGGCACATGGGTTGATGCTCAATCACTGAGCCACACTGGCCAAGCTATCTGCTCAATTTTTCTATAAATCTAAAACTTTTCTCAGGACCGCAGGCCGATGCTCTAACCGCTGAGCCAAACCGGCCAGGGCTAAAACTTTTCTAAGATATAAAATCTATTTTAAAAAAAGCTATAGCGACAGAAATTTTCCCAGCTCACCTTAGCCAAGTGATCAAGTGTAACTTCACCAACAATGGGAAAAAAACATCATCAGCTTCCAGATAACATGTACTTAGAGGACACATCATCACTTATGTAGTGTTTCTGCCAAAAATGTATAACCTGAATCAAATTACAAATAAACAGCAGATATACCCAAACTGGTCAGTATTCTTCAAAATGTCAATGTCATAAAAGACAAAGAGAGAATGAGGTATGGTTCTAGATTAGAGGCTGAAGATACATCACAACCAAACACAAATCATAATCTTAGGTTGGATCTTTGACCAGGGAAAGAAC